AAGCAGCCTGCTGTGCGGGCACCTGAGCATGAGCTCTCCCCAGCCGCTGATTGACAGCAGCGGGAACTATTGGCTCCCACTGCTGTCTCAGCCAATGGGAAGAGGGGGTCCCAGATAGCTGAGTCTCTAGTGCACATCACTGGATTGAGAGGGGGCTTAGGTGAGTATTTAGGGGTGACTGGGGGGGCTGCTGCACATAGAATGCATGAAGGCAAAAAAACCTTGAGTCTTTACAACCACTTTAAGTGACTTTGAATGTGGCATGGTTGTTGGTGCCAGACGGGCTGATCTGAGACTTCTGATCTACTTGGATTTTCACGTTCAACCATCTCTACGGTTTACAGAGAATGGTCTGATAATAAGAAAATATCCAGTGAGCGGCATTTGTGTGGACGAAAATGCCTTGTTGATGTCAGAAGTCAGATGAAAATGGGCAGACTGGTTCAAGATGATAGAAAGGCAACAGTAACGCCATGTCAATATAGAAAAAAATCTCTGAGGAATGTTTCCAACACCTTGTTGAATGTATACCACGAAGAATTAAAGGATAAGTTCACCTTTTAGTAAAAAAATAATGAATGCACCTTTTTTTGCAAGTAAAAAAATGTGCATTTATTATTTTTGTCTGCAGGAGCCTGTAAAGCATTGTACCAGTGATCAGCAGATCACTGGTGCCATACAGGTCTCCTGCAGATCTGTCAGTATATCTGCTTGTCCATACATGATGTACAGTGCCTTCAATAAGTATTCATATCCCTTGAGATTTTCCACATTTTGTCATGTTAGAAACAAAAATGTAAATATATTTTTTGGGGATTTTATGTGATAGATCAACACAAAGTGGCACATAATTGTGAAGTGGAAGGAAAATGATAAATGGTTTTGAAATTTTTTTACAAATAAAAATGTGAAAAGTATGGCGGGCATTTGTATTCAGCCCCCTTTACTCTGATACCCCTAACCAGGGGCGGACTGACAAGTCATGGGGCCCCCGGGCAATAGGGGATCATGGGGCCCCTGTGTCCTTGCCCAAACTCAAAAAAGCCTATGAAAAAGGTACCAGGGGTATCTCATGGGGCCCCCTACTGACCCCGGGTGCTCGGGCAGTGCCCGAGTTTCCAAATGGCCAGTCCGCCCCTGCCCCTAACTAAAATCTAGTGGAACCAATTGCCTTCAGAAGTCACCTAATTATTAAATAGAGTCCACCTATGTGTAATTTAATCTCAGTATAAATACAGTTGTTCTGTGAAGCCTTCAGAGGTTTGTTAGAGAACATTAGTGAACAAATAGCATCATGGAGGCCAAGGAACACACCAGACATGTCAGGGACAAAGATGTGGAGACGTTCAAAGCAGGGTTAGGTTATAAAAAGAATCCCAAGGTTTGAACGTCTCACAGAACACTGTTCAATCCATCATCTGAAAATGGAAAGAATATGGCACAACTGCCAACCTACCAAGACATGGCCGTCCACCTAAACTGACAGGCTGGGCAAGGAGAGCATTAATCAGAGAAGCAGCCAAGAGGCCCATGGTAACTCTGGAGGAGCTGCAGAGATCCACAGCTCAGTTGGAAAAATCTTTCCACAGGATAACTATTAGTCGTGCACTCCACAAATCTGGACTTTATGGAAGAGTGACAAGAAGAAAAAAGCCATTGTTGAAGGAAAGCCATAAGAAGTCCTATTTGCAGTTTGTGAGAAGCCATGTGGGGGACACAGCAAACATGTGGAAGAAGATGCTCTGATCAGATGGGACCAAAATTAAAATTTTTGGCCTAAAAGCAAAGCAAAACGCTACTGTATGTGTGGCGGAGAACTAACACTGCATATCACCCTGAACACACCATCCCCACCGTGAAACATGGTGGTGGCAGCATCATGTTGTGGGGATGATTTTCATCAGCAGAGACAGGGAAGCTAGTCAGAGTTGATGGGAAGATGGATGGAGCCAAATACAGGGCAATCTTAGAAGAAAACCTGTAAAGAGTCTGCAAAAGAACTGAGACTGGGGCGGAGGTTCACCTGCCAGCAGGACAACGGCCCTAAAAATACAGCCAGAGCTACAATATAATGGTTTAGATCAAAGCATATTCATGTATTAGAATGGCTCAGTCAAAGTCCAGACCTAAATCCAATTGAGAATCTGTGGCAAGACTTGAAAATTGTTGTTCACAAATGCTCTCCTTCCAATCCGACAGAGCTTGAGCTATTTTGCAAAGAAAAATGGGCAAAAATGTCCCTCTGTAGATGTGTAAATCTGGTAGAGACATACCCAAAAAGGCTTGCAGCTGTAATTGCAGTGAAAGATGGTTCTACAAAGTATTGACTCCGGGGGGGCTGAATACAAATGCGCGCCAAACTTTTCAGATATTTATTTGTAAAAAATCTTCAAAACCATTTATCATTTTTCTTTCACTTCATAATTTTGTGCCACTTTTGTGTTGGTCTATCACATAAAATCCCAATAAAATACATTGACGTTTTTAAGGCACTGTATGAGCAAGCAGATATACTGACAGGAAGAATGAATGAACTACCAGGGTGCTCCACAACGCAGTGGTAGTTCATTGAGGACTACAAGCAGACAGCTGCTAAGGCTGTCAGGACCTGTAGTTTCTCATTCACAGAGGACTGTGAATGAGTGACGCAGCTGGGTGGGCTTTTTAAGTTTTGACAGCTAGCGGAGGAAAGAATGAGGGTAATGAGGGTAATGAATAAGCGCTGTCTTTAGCATGAAACCCATTTACCTGCTAGTCTCCCACTGTATTTCACTGTCTGTATTGGTTTTTTCCTGGTCCAATAAAGTGGATTGTTTGTAGTGCAGCCGATCGGACTTCCTTTGTTCTCATCTAGGCAGCACACGAGCTGGGCTAGCATATACAGGAGGAGTTGTGCATGGAGACTGGGAGTCTCTCTACCTTGAGCAACAGTAAACATAAGATCCCCCGCTAGTTATCAAGGCAGGAAGCTTGGGCTGGTCTGATCATAACATGTTACACCCAGGGGCAGACTGACAACTCATGGGGCCCCCGGGCAATAGGGGATCATGGGGCCCCTGTGTCCTTGCCCAAACTCAAAAAAGCCTATGAAAAAAGGTACCAGGGGCATCTCATGGGGCCCCCTACTGACCCTGGGCCCTCCGGCAGTGCCCCGAGTTTCCAAATGGTCAGTCCGCCCCTGGTTACACCCTGTAACATGTTAGGAAAGGTGAAGTTATCCTTTAAGGCAGTTCTGAAAGCAAAAGGTGGTCCAACCCAGTACTAGCAAAGTGTACCTAAAAAAGTGGCTGGTGAGTGTATATATCATAGTTTGAAGATCCCAAAACTTTCACGCAGTCTAAATAACACTGATTTGGGTTTTTGTTACCAAAGAAATGTAACAGGTTACATTTTGATCTAAATGTATGAAGAAAGAATATTTGTTTGCAAAATGTTCTAACAGAAAATAAGAAAATGTTTTTGTTATTTGTCCTTGTATTTTTTTTTTTATATAGCGAAAAAAAAAGTGGTGAAAGAAGCTCTATTTATGTGAAGAAAAATATAACATGTTCCTTTGGTTACAGTGTTGCATGACCAAGCAATTGACAGTTAAATTAGCGTAGTGCTGAATAGCAAAACATGTGCTGGTCATGAAGGGGGTAAAACCTTTGGAAGGCCAAGAGGGTAATACCGCTTCAATTGTCAGTTCATTATTCTTTACAAGTGAGGTCAGATATGCAAAGGAAAAAATACAATTTGAACCTGCTTCAACAGTTTACACCAGAACATTCATTATGGAGATTTTTCAACCTTTGTTCCTGTCCAAGTGATACCCTGTCATACCATGACACACAAGGAGTCACTGGAACATCTTCCAAATGGGCATACAGACAGTGATAAAACCCGATAGAGGTTCTAGCTTTTCTCTGCCATGGTAAAAAGACATCCTTTTAGGATCCTCCAAGAAAATAAAGTTACCTGTGGGCATGGATGAGAGCATTGAATGCAAGGCCATCCCGCCAGGTCCTGGAGAAATCCTGCACATCCACATTGGAGTAGGGGGCCGTTTTAATTTGACACCATATAAGAAGAGCTTCTTTGGCCGATGCTTGAGCTGCAGTGGCACCAAACTCATCCTGGTTAGAATGACAGAATATTAAAGAGGAATATTATATTTTGTTTTAACTGTAGGAGAATGCAAAAGATAACATTTTTGAACTTATTACTTGAAGTAAGCAGGAGATAGAAGAACTTAGTATTAGTAGTATTTGTAATTTTGTAATTTTGTAATTTTGTATCTCCTGACTCAAAGGGGAATTCTGCATGCTTGTAATGCCACCCCATGTTTACCTATGCTCCAAGAATGGATCAACCACTTTACAAATCATTTCACATTTCTTTTTCATTATAAAAATTAGCAAAGATGCAAAAATCGGAGCTTTATCCACTACCTAATGTTGAGCAAGGCCCATGCTGCAACCTGCCATACAGAATCCAATGAATTTTCTGCCATTTGCTCATGTATGAGGGATCTCAACGTATGGTGGTATCTGATGACATCACAAGGATAGTATACTCAAGCCATCACATCATGTCTGCTAGAACATCACCTCATATTCATGCCCAAACCACAGAATTCCAAAACATTGAACAATGTCTGCTTGATCCTGTTTATGGAGTCTGTGGAGTCAGACTGAGAGATCATAACAAGAGACACCAAAGGCAGCTAAACCACATGAGGCTCAACAGCCACTGGTTAGGGCCTACATTAGAAAGGTGGTCACTGATAGCCAGATCTCCTAAAACAAATGTTAGGTAGAGCGACTCCTGTCTGTTCAGCAATGCAATGCTCTGCACCAGGACCTACCATCGACATTTCACAACACATTGGCAATACTTATCAAATGATAATGATTGCTTGTGACAATTGAAGGGGCTGTCATTTCCCTTAAAGTGTTACTAAACCCACAACAGTAAAATCAGTCTGTATATGCAGTAAAGCGTGTTTTTTTTTTACTCACCTAAGGGGTTAATCCTTTGCATTGTGTAAAAAAGCACGTTTGATCCTATCTTCTCTGATCCTCCCCTTCTTCTACTGTCCCCAGTCCATCTGCTGATAGGGCAGAGCCTTGGAGGCAAGCTGCACATGCTCAGTTTGGTGCATATTGCTAGAGAGTTTTTTTTCTTGGGAGTGTGCATGTGATCAGCACAGGGCCAATCAGCACTGTCCAGGCAGAGGGTCAGAGGATATGCAGCCTTATAGGACAATCAGGGGAGAATGAAAACCCCTTCTACAAGCTTTAACCAGTGCTCGGCTGGACACTGATAGAAGTCACAAGACTGCTATATACTGCTGATGAGAAAAGGTATTTAGCAGTTTATATTTACTAAAATAATCGCATCTCCATGTTCTGTGTACTGTGGGTGATCAGATATAGTAAATGCAGGGTCCTGGGTTTAGTAACACTTTAATGGAAGTCATAATGGTGAGTCCTAATAGCAACCAGCAATGCTCTAATCAGGAGCAAGATCTTTAGGTTAGGATCACATTATTTCATATCGGGAACGTGCACACAATTGTACGCATTCCTGATGCACAAAAGTAATGCGCTGCTCTTTAGCATGCACCCGGAGGTGCCATTAATTCCTAATGGCCCCCGCACACATCAGAAATAATGTCTGTGTTTTTGCATGCACAGAACCGCATGGGCTGCAGCACCCTGTGGTTCAGTGCGGTGTTGTTTTTAAAAAAGAGTCCAGAGCTTTTTAAATGGGTTTATGTGGGTAGGGCAGCTGATTTAAATGAATGGGTTGTCCTACATGCAGAATGCAACCGTATAGATCTGCCAAGCCTTGATAAGAAACAAATGTATGAACAATAAGCAACCAGAAAAATTGCTTTTCTCCACAGCAGATAACCAGTAAATGAAGCACTGCATTCACATGCAGACTAATTTGTATGGGCAACACATGAACTTGTTTTCACTTCAGTTTTATTAGTTAGTTTACATACAAATCTCTCTGCAATACGAGGGTATTGAGTTCAGTGCTTTAGCTGTACCTTATCCAATGTGATGGAAGCAATCTGAAATCGCAGAATAATAATCCAAATCAGTCCTAAGATTAATGTCCGATCTCCATCTACAATATTTTCTGGACCAATAAGCTTCACAGGGACCTAGAATAGAAATAAAGTAAGTAAAATAGAAGATGGTCTACCTATATCAAAGCTGGCACTATAGTGATCTGTCACTACAAATAATAACGGTGCTGAGGAAAACCTAGATGCCACATTAAATTATACGCAGATGATTGCTCGGGAAGAAAAATATTTAAAATTACAATTAAACATTTATGTTTCATTATACTAGGTAACCAATTTCAGGAACTTGTATTGAATCTGTCATAGTTTTTTTATTTTTCATAGTAGGGTGAAGACTGAGTCTGCATGTTACAATTTCCTTTTAATTTGCCCTCTCTGGACAACCACGGTTGGGGGTGAGGGATGAAATGATAGGCAATTAAAGATAGGTGGGAAGGCACCAATTTTGCCATCCCATTTTCTTTTTATGGGCAACTACCCTGAAAATCAGTCAACAGTAGGAGCTAGTTCACATCACTGCCCTGAAAGTGTTACCCAACACATACACAAAGACGCGTTTCCTTTCAACATGTGTAATTTATACCAATGTGTGGCATTGGTGTGACCTGTGATATAATGATGCAAGTGTTGTTTTATTGCAGCACATCATACAGCACGGAATATCACTGCACCTACCCTTAATGTTCTGCTGTGCAGAGACTTGCATAAAGTGTAAAAAAAAACAAAGTAAACAGTACAATGCACTGTAATCGCATTTCACACAACCGCTCACTGCTCCTATACACTGCACACCAGTGGCTGCACGTTGTAGCGCAGAGCTGGTGTTAACCCAGCCTTAGGGAATATAAACATGCTTGAGACAAACATACATCTATGATCATACAAGAAAAAAGAAAATCACACTTCTGTTTCTATGGAGAAAAAATGGGCAGCCTAAATTTTTTAAAGACCCTATCTAAAGTTTAAAAGCAGTCCCTAGCTACATCTTTCATTTACTGCAGCAATTCCCCATGCTGAACTGATGAATGCAAACTTAGGTCTGAATTGTCTTCAATGGCAACTGCTTTAACGCTCTGATATTACAGATGTTCACATAGTTCTAATCGGTACACCTGCCAAATTTTCAGTGGTCTTTTTACACCTTCCTACATCCAAACTGATCCGATCCACTAAAAACCGACTGATGGGGATCTGTTCTCCTTCCATCCAGCAGATATGATCGAATGGCAGTTAGGTGTAAACTAACAAGCGGTCTGTCATATTTGCATTGGGACAAACATAGATCTAAATGTAGCAATAACAGTATAATATATATACAGTATATATATATATATACAGTGGGGATCGAAAGTTTGGGCACCCCAGCTAAAAATTTGTATTAATGTGCATACAGAAGCCAAGGAAAGATGGAAAAATCTCCAAAAGGCATCAAATTACAGATTAGACATTCTTATAATATGTCAACAAAAGTTAGATTTGATTTCCATCATTTACACTTTCAAAATAACAGAAACAAAAAAATGGCGTCTGCAAAAGTTTGGGCACCCTGCAGAGTTAATATCTTGTACTGCCCCCTTTGGCAAGTATCACAGCTTGTAAACGCTTTTTGTAGCCAGCCAAGAGTCTTTCAGTTCTTGTTTGAGGTATCTTTGCCCATTCTTCCTTACAAAAGTCTTCCAGTTCTTTGAGATTTCTGGGCTGTCTGTCACGCACTGCTCTTTTAAGGTCTATCCATAGATTTTCAATTATGTTGAGGTCAGGAGATTGTGAAGGCCATGGCAAAACCTTCAGTTTACGCCTCTTGATGTAATCCCCCGTGGATTTCGAGGTGTGTTTAGGATCATTATCCATTTGTAGAAGCCATCCTCTCTTTAACTTCAGCTTTTTCACAGATGGCATCAAGTTACCATCCAAAATTTGCTGAAATTTTATTGAATCCATTTTTCCTTCTACTCGTGAGATGTTCCCTGTGCCACTGGCTGCAACACAACCCCAAAGCATGATTGATCCAACCCCATGCTTGTTGGATGGGATAGTTGGACAGAGGTTCTTTTCATTAAATTCTGTGCCCCTTCTTCTCCAATTGTACCTTTGCTCATTCCGGCCAAAAAGTTCAATTTTAACCTCATCGGTCCACAGAACTTGTTTCCAAAATGCATCAGGCTTGTCTATATGTTCATTTGCAAAGTTCAGACGATGATTTTTGTGGTGAGGACGTAGAAGAGGTTTTCTTCTGATGACTCTTCCATGAAGACCATATTTGTACAAGTATCTCTTTATAGTGGAATAGTGTACCACAACTCCAGTGTCTGCCAGATCTTTCTGGAGGGATCGTGCAGTCAAACGTGGGTTTTGAATTGTTTTTCTCACAATCCTGTGAGCTGTTCTGTCTGATATTTTTCTTGGTCTTCCAGATCTTGCTTTAACTTCCACTGTTCCTGATGACTGCCATTTCTTAATTACATTCCGAACAGAGGATATTGACATCTGAAAACGCTTTGCTATCTTCTTATAGCCTTCTCCAGCTTTGTGAGCGTCAACTATTTTCAGTTTCAGTTTTCTAGACAACTGCTTAGAAGAACCCATGGTGCTGATTGTTGGGGCAAGGTCAGATGAGTCTGGGCATTTAAAACCTTTGAGATTGACATCACCTGGTCTTCCCAGACGATGATTGAGAACAATCCATGACACTGGCAGGTCTCAGCTTTGCAAAGGGGGCAGTGCATGCTATAAACTCTGCAGGGTGCCCAAACTTTTGCAGACGCCATTTTTTTGTTTTCTGTTATTTTGAAAGTGTAAATGATGGAAATCAAATCTAACTTTTGTTTACATATTATAAGAATGTCTAATCTGTAATTTGATGCCTTTTGGAGATTTTTCCATCTTTCCTTGGCTTCTTTATGCACATTAATACAAATTTTTAGCTGGGGTGCCCAAACTTTCGATCCCCACTGTATATATATATACTGTATATATATTATACTGTTATTGCTACATTTAGATCTATGTTTGTATATATATATTTGTTTTTTGAAACCACTGATGAACCACTTGGTCGCTCTTCTATGTTTCTTTTAAAAATGTGCTGCAGCACCTTTTTACAAGTACATCTGCTCTTACAGTTTCTCCAATGGTCTCATGTAGAGTCCCACAAATGCTGATTGAGCCTGCCAGTAAACTACACCTAATGGAGCTTCCATTGATGAGGTGGGCAATGGTGCTCCTGAATTCAGAGCAGAGTTGCCTCTATCATGTAGGCTGTGCCTGCTTGTACTACAGTGGACACACATTGCAAGGAGCCTGGCTGTCAGCATTGTCATGGCTGATTCACCAGCCTTTAGCTTGTCAATCAGCATATGGCCACACCCAGTCTTGCTCACTGCTTTCTGGATTGAGAGCACTGAAAACAGCCCATTGTGAGCTGCAGTGTCTGGGGACAAACTGGGAATTTGTGATTTTTTTAATTGTGTGCTTAGTGAGTAAGAAGTTTAAGTTGTGTTAAAGAGAACCTGTAATAGAATCTGTAGTATTGAGTAGCCTTTTTCAACCAGGATGCCTTCAGGCTTCTTCAGGTGTGCCTTGGCAAAATGCCCACAAATGGTATACATGCCAGCAGGTAGATCAATCTTGCCTTTTAGTACACAAAGCACAGGTTTTCATTGTGCACTTTTATGACCTTCTAGCTGCCAGCATCCTAACAAGCAATGACATCATCAGTTGATAAGGAGGACATAGGGTGCCTGCACATCATCCTTGCTTGCCCCTAACCTGCCCCTCTCCATCAGCACTGGGATCTGCTGCCCTAGGCAACACACAAATTTTGCCCCCCCAAAGGGGAAAGAGAGAGAGAGTTCAATAAGTGTGTGTATGTATATGTGATTCTCTCTCTCCCTCTCTCTTTTCTCCCTCCCTTTCTCTTCTCTCTCTCTCACCTCTCTATCTTCCCCTCTCTCCCTCTTTCTCTCTCTCTTTCCCCTCCTCTCTCTTTCCCCCCTCTCTCTCTTTCCCTCCCTCCCCCCTCTCTATCTCCCCTCTCTCGTCCCTCTCTTTCTCTCTCTTCTCTCTCTCCCCCTCCCTCTCTCGTCCCCTCTCTCTCTTCCTCTTGCTCCCCCTCTCTCTTCCCTCTCTCTCTTCTTCCCTCTCC